TATTGGTAGTGTAGTGGTAGTGTGTGGTCCGTGTGTGTAGTGTGTGTGTGTAGTGTGTACGTATATATTCGTACTATATATATATATATATATATATAAGTGTGTGTGTGTGTGTGTGCGGGTGTGTGTGTGTGTGTGTGTGTATTCGTGTATATGCATATATATATTTATATCGGTAAAAATACTGCATACGACACTACAATTGCATGCTCAGCAAGCATGTCTATCACTTTCTTTCAGCGTTTTTTTATCGGGTTGGTATTCCTATCCACTTATCTTCAGTCTGTTATTTTAACCGGTAGGTATGCTGTGTGATCTCCTGTGGTCGGATCCGGATCCTGGCGTCAAACTGTGGGGCGAAAATGAACGCGGAGTGTCCTACACATTTGGTGTACAGGCCATCAAAGACTTTTTGGACAGCTTAAATTTAGATATGATCGCCCGTGCACATCAGGTAGGTGCACAATGTGTCTGACTCTTCATGATATATCGTAAGCGGTAGCTTTGTAGTAGCAAGTTGGGTGTGCATGCATGTGTGGCTATCTGCGTGCCTGCAGCGTGAAAGCTTAGAACAACAGAGCTTCAGGCAATATAGAATACATTCAGCAGCACAGACGCGTACAAGCGCACGTATAGGCGATATGCATTAAAGCAATAATTTTGACCACACGACGGTGTCCTAGTATTACGCTGGCTGAGCACAACCCACATCAGCGCCGCATCTTATAGTCCTATTTTCATTACCTATGTTCAATTAATAATAATAAAATGAGTTTCAGCTTGATTCACCGGCAACACAAAAACATATCGCTTTGAGACTGCACTGCACCTGTGCTTCATATTTTTAGGCTGAACTACACCCATGGTTCATTATTCTGGGAAGTGCTGACTGATACCCCCTGTACACCATATGGATCCTCAGGTGGTACAGGATGGCTACGAGTTCTTTGGACAGAGGAGGTTAGTCACCATTTTCTCGGCGCCCAACTACTGCGGCGAGTTTGATAATGCTGCTGGGATCATGACGGTAGACGAGGATTTGGTCTGTTCCTTCCAGGTGTGTACAGCGTACGGTCTTCAGTGTGTGTAGTATAAAATTGCTTGGCGTTGATCCATGGTTTGAGCATGCGTGTTTTATTATTTTGGTGATTTGTGCGATTGCGGATGATGTTCTGCCTCAGACGAGGCTTGTATAATTTCCTTATGTATAAGTCGAACCACATAAAATGCCAATAGTGATCAGGCAAAATCAAACATTCATACTGCTTGCAGCCTCAGAAGCCTTGAACTCTGTATTGATAGTTTGTATTTCCTGAGTATCAATGTTTGTATGTATACATACATATGCATAGGAATGTTTCTCGCAATGTGCTGCATATGCGGCGGAACATGTACATGTGTCCAAGTCTAGCTTTAGTAGGCTTTCTTCCACGCACAATGACAGTGCCAATTGTTGTAGCACTCTTTTAGGGTTGTCTTATTATTACTTCCGAATCTCTGCCTTTTTTCTATCACTTAGTGTCTCCTCACCTATGCAGAGAAACGTGTTTGTGCTGAAGTATTCTGCTTATCCTTGACGCGTACACTCTGCAGATTCTGAGGCCAGCCCCAAAGATATCTGGTCTGAACAAGCAACGAGGCATTGTCAGGACTATGAAGGAGCCCGAGGAAGTGGTCGTGCCGATTATCAAAGAGAAGAAGGCTTACTAGTAGTATTTAGCCTTAGTGGGCAGTGTTAGGATATGGAACCCCCTAATACAGGAGTGGTCACTTACTATGTCTTGGCAGTTGATGTGACTTTGAGAGTAGTGCGTACAGTGAACGCCGCGATTGCGGCTTGTGAGCTTCTGATCTGCCACGTCAGTTAATTTAATCGGTTCTGTCGGGCCTTACGACTCTCAAACAGTGTGTTGTGGGTGTTATAGGCCCAGGGTTGTGCGAGCACCTGAAATGCGCCGGGAGCGTAGCAACATCCATCAATACCTGGGGATGGGGCGCAGAAGTCGGAGTTCAGAAACATCAAACATCAGACACTGGGTGCAGGGGTTCTGGGGTAAGTTCGCCTTCAAGCTCTCCTGCAAGCCATTTCCGGCATGAAAAATCAAAAGCTTTCGAATCCAACGCTGCCTTTTTGGCCAAGAAGGGGATCACTTAAAACAGGGCACATGGTCATTGTCATTGTCCGGTGACGCGAGCCGTCGAAGTCACGTGGTATGTAAGCATGCGGTCTTCATCGAATTTAGCAGCAAATACGCCGCAAAGGCACGATCACCCCACAGGTCACACACTTGAATTGGGTCTGGCTGGCGCATGGAGAGGGGACACATTCGAGAGACAACATGATATTCTGTGATACACTTTCAGCAGGATTTGTAATCTTGACTTGGTACGCAGTACATCAGAGCCTAGAGAGATCACCGTTTGATAACTTCTCAGCCAGAAGTACTGGCCAGCGGTACTCCAGCACCTCTCAACCTCACCTGCATAGTGTGACATGGTTGAGTATCCCCATAGTATACTCGGGAAGCCGAAAGAAGTCAACAGATCCGAACGTCTGGGCGCCTCAGATGTTGGGTAGGGGCGGCTGATCGATGTGTACATTCTGGAGACGGTGCGATGCAATATATATGTATGGCCGTACACATCAGCTGCACCTGCTCCACTACTGATGCCTCGTGTGACAGCGCCCGCAATGGAGTCTTGCGTTGCTATGCCAAAGGAATAATCCGCTGATAGTATCGGAGGAATGTTGGGTTTGAGGCCACAATGCGATATACCCAAATATTAGGACTGGGTCATTTAAAGCCGCCCGCGTATGCCTGTCTCGACGAGATATTGAGCAGCCAAGCTCACTAACAAATAAATGTCACAGGTGTGTTGGTGTCTTTCTGAGCTGCCATCCCAAAGGACACGGTACGTCTCAGTTCAAGTAGCGGTATTTGATATGACTCTGTGTGCTGTCTAGATTAATGAATGTGTCTAAAATCTCATTACATATTCCGAGAAATAGAGTAGAGTTGGTATCGTGCAGTCGTTATTATCTTTGATTAACTCTATAGAGGAAAACGGCATTTCTCTGTCAAAGCAAGAAGCGTACTAAATCTCACTCATTTGGGGTTCAATTGATGAACCATAAAGCTCTCTATGCATGTCGAAAGCAAAGAGAAAAATGAAGGGGTAGAGCCATTTTAGCTTATTGTCTTGTTTCCAGATTTCGCACGCCTCGAATGCGCACCTTATTTCAGAGATTTCGTTTACCTGTCTGCCACAACTGTCAATATGAGTACTCAACACGATACAATAGATGCGAGTCTCTCCATAGACGCAAGCGGCGGCTAGTCATCTCGGAGAAGCGAAGCCTGGGACTGTAAGTGCTGCTATTGGATCTATTGATCTCGGAGAAGCGAAGCCTGGGACTATAAGGCCTGCTATTGGATCTATTGAGCAGAATAGCCAGACAGTGAAATCAAATAGAGAGGGGCACCCTCCCTAGGTAGCACAGCAGATGCAGCTGTGATGATGGTGTTAAATGCAGTCTCAAAATATTTACATATTGTTTGGCGTAGCATCGTGTACCTACAAACCTAGATACGATTGAGAATACAGTTGCACTCAGAATTTCCGCTTGGATTGCCGGGTATTATTCATTGGTGGCCGACCACAGCGAGGTCTGGTGGGTCTACCTACCCGCCGATAACTCACTAAGGGGATAGAGTTCACACACAGATGAGGCTCTCCTATTTTTATATCACTCGTTATTTATGCTATACAGTGGTAAGTGCTCAGGCAGGACGATGTGATTGACCGTTGTAATGGTTTATTGCTCGTGAATTATTGGTTTATTGCTCGTGAATTATCGGTATATCGCTCGTGAATTATCGGTTTATTGCTCGTGAATTATACAGTGGCGTGTTAGGTGGGGCCAACGGGAACACCAAACACAGCGATTGAAGTCATGTGTTTCTCCCGGATCTTTGCCACGGAGCTGATGAGATGCGCCAGGAACGACTGGCCCCTGCAAAAAGGACGGGTGCACGGGCGATGGGACATAGAGGTCGATCGAAACATGCATACAGAAGTGTACATTTATAGTACCCATATACGCACCGGCACATGAATGCTAGTGGTGCTAGAACTTACATATACATACATGTGCACAGTATTTAGCAGTGTGCACACGCGAATATGTTCAAATGATACTTGTGAACAAATAAGCACGGAATTTACGATCTTTGGTTTACAGAAAATCTATCGGAATCACACTACCTTGACGGCAGAACTACGCACAGCCCCGAATAAACTGACAGGCACATCACTCACCTGCTATGAACAACGAAATATTACAAGCACAGTCTTCTGAAAGAAAAAGAAAAACATACGGGGTTGAAGCGCCGCACAAATGAGGTGCGAGGCGACATACCTTTTGGTCTGTTTGTGCTTCAGCAATACTCTGATGGTCTCTTTAACTAGGTGCGCCGGTACAACAACGGTAACTAAAGGCTTGGCATCTGCCGATACGCTACCGGCCGTGCGTGATAGGGTCTGCACGCACATAAGACCGTTGGTGGCGCTTGTCATATCCGCCGTGGTGAGTACTAGTACGTTTAACCTACGAGATGATGTACGAAAGATTTGATTCAATTGGTGTACAGTGGTGAGTACGAGTACGTTCAACCTACGAGATGATGTATGAAAGATTTGGTTCAATTGGTGTACAGTGGTGAGTACGAGTACGTTTAACCTACGAGATGATGCATGAAAGATTTGGCTCAGTTGGTGTACAGTGGTGAGTACGAGCCCCTTCAACCTACGAGATAATGTATAAAAGATTTGGTTCAATTTGTGTACAGTGCAGTCAGTATACGAGAGCGTTTTCTTCCTTCCCCCCACCCCCCCGCTAAAATACCCGTACGATTGATTCTAAACAAGCCATTTGTACTACCCATTCTTTGATTGACAAGTATTTTCCGGGAGCATCAGAGCCCGCGACACCATTAGCTATACTTCAAGGTAAGCCCTAGCCTGATTCCCACAAGAACTATCGAAGCATGCTACGACCACTAAAACCCCTTGAGCAGATAAAATACTCGAACACATGTCCACACACCACCCACCTTCCAGCTACAATGACCCCGTCCACAGCCCGTGTCAGATACGGCAGACCCGCACTCGCCCCCTCGCTCGTATCCACAAACTTGACATCCTTCGAGTACGCTCTCCTGTACCGCGACACCTTCTTACCCACCGCCACCAGCGACGGGAACGGATCAGCCGCCGATGTGTGCCTGTCGCCATGGCGCAAGCACCAGCACGTGCTCAACTGGAGAGGTGGCTCTGTAGGTGGGTGCTTGGGACTAGTCTGTGACGGGCCAGTGGTACTAGGTACGGTACTGCCGGTTGTGAGGGGTGGCTGAGCACCAGTGGCAGTAGTAGCGGTAGGAGCAGTATGCTCGTGCTTGCGCCGGCACGCGGATGGGATGTGGGTGCAGGCCATATGGTCCAGAGAATCGCAGTCGGCCTCGCACAGGCATTGTTGGAGGGGCTCGGCAGTCGCTCTGCATGTCGACGTCGTGTGCTGCGCATGTCGCTGTCCTGCCGCTGAAGCTCCGGTGAGGTGGTGTGCAAGGCTCCGTGCACTGTTGTGCAGTCGGTGCGCCTATGGGGGCGTAGACAGATTTGTGTTGATATATGAGATTCTATGTATTTTTTTGGTAGTATAGCACTAGTACATGGTTTTTGGATACCCTGTTAGAACTCGTTGACGTCAACTAGCCTTGGGCTATGCATTCCACACAGACGCACGGACAGCGGTCTATGTACAACGGTACACTTGCCGCACTATGTCGCTAATCGCACAATCAACGACCACTATATATTGCTATGGAAAGCCACCAACAATGCAAGCCCAAACGGCGCAAATCAGAGGGCAAGACAAATGCATGCCGCAAGGTATAACGGTATTTCTATGTAATACACAGTAGATATGTTTAGATGTGAGACAAAATCTCGAGGCTCGGACGGATATAGTTAAGTGCCACACAGCAATAGTATTAGGTGGACAGTAACATCATGCAGAGACATGACATAAAGTAAATGCCATCACATTAAAAAGTATGTACATACCTGTAAAACAGCCTCGTCCTCATTTTCAGAAGAAAAGAAAGTCACGATCGTGCCTCTCCCGGGTGTAGGGCTATGAAACGAAGTCTTCCCAGTATAACCATGACAATCATCCGTACTCGATGATACCGAGGGTGAGCTTGACACAACCGACAGTAAGCGCATGCAGCTGTCATCGCCGAGTATCTGTTCCCATGGTAACACATGCAATTCAGGGGTCGTGACTAAAATCAAAGTTTTCCTTCGGATTTCTGTCCTACCTGCGGGGCCCAATGCAAGGACACGCCCGTTCCCATAGTCGCCGCTGTAATCTCCGTCACTCGAGTAGCCCGTCAACGCGTGCGCAGTGCTTGTGGGTGACCCGGTAATACGCGAGAAGGGGTTCAACCAGTTAGGTGTGGTAGGTAGACTCGTTGAGGGAGAACTGTTACGGGAGAATGACTCATGGTTCAGCTGGAACTGAGCAATGGCATTGGTATTTGTGGGTATGGAGCAAGGGGGGGTTGATAGTGTTGCGGCGAGATCGTCGAGTGTGGGCGCGATGTTGGTGTTGGAGTTGAAGTTTGTTTGTAGTGTCAGTGATTGTGATTGGATGCTATTTTTAGAACTGGAGCTGGAGCTGAAGAGTCCGCCAAAGAGTCGCTGGATAAACGTACCCCGCTCTCTACCATTCCCATTTCCGTTGCCATGGCAACCTGAGGTGCCGATTTTAGTGGGAGAGGAGACACTGGCAGACAATCTGCTAGCAACCACCGCCATACCATTTTCATTCGAGCGCCTTGTGGTTAGAACAGGTGTTGACGTGGCTTTGCCCATGGCCGGGCCTGAGCTGGAAGTTCTCTGAGCTGGCTGGTAACTGTCTAAACTAGCAGGCGGTGTTTTGGTACCCCTCCTCACACTCTCCCGCAGGTGCGCCGCAGAAACAGGCGGCTTCTGCGATGGACTGAGTGCTGCGGTGCCGTCCCGTCGTCTCTCAGCCTCATGAGCTGAACAGCTGTCGCCAGTGGGTTTCGAGAGCATTTCCTGCTCGCGATACGCGCAGGCCTCGGATTCCGGAATATTGTTCAGTGCTGACGCAACACCCGAACCTTTGGATCCGGACCTTGCCGGGCTGTAGCACACACTGTTGCCCCTGCACTCTCGCGTGGTGGACACTCCTGTGCCCTGTGACACGGCACACGCGTGCAACGGGTGCACTGGTGTGCACATGCCTGCACGTGTGGCTTGTGTTCCGGTTTGTACCTCCCACGCCACAGTGATGGCGGCGTCGTACATGTGTCTGAGCTGTTCCAGCAGCCCACCGCAGTCTGTCTGCCCTTGGCCACAGCCCTTACCGTCCTCATGCGGTGCGTGCTGTGCACTAACCTGATCCCAATGTCTCCCTGGCACACAGGATGGAACACCTGCACCGGCCAGGTTAGTCGCCTTCGGAATAGTGGGAGGTGGGTGGGTAGCCCTAGCATCATGGCTCAGGGTGCTGGTGGGCGTGGGCGTGGCTGTAGTCGCCAACACATTCGGGGACACATTCAGAGCTTCGCATATGTACCTCAGCAGTTCTTTGGGCATTTTCGTACCACCCCGTAAGGCCTGGATGCCGTTTCCCGTGCGCATGTGGTCCGTGTCCACGTGCGCTGTCGTGTGGCTAGACTTCGAGAGTTTCCCATTGGGCAACTGTATATGCCTGTTATCATGTTGACTTCCTATCCTACACAAGGCATCTGGGGTAGGGTGTAGATCGGGTGATGTGCTTTCACTGACACCGGGGAGCTTATCCGTACAATCGAGCTTATGCACATCAGAACATATCATATCGGATGCGTTGCTGAGTTTCAGTACATGAGAGCCTTCCTGTGCCGTGTGACAGGCTGGCTGAGGGTCTGATAGCAACCGATTGCTCATACGCGAAGCTATGGGCCGCATTTGAGACGCCGGGGAGTAGGTGTATGTGATGGCGTCCTGTGTGTAATGTCGACAGTAGAACAACGAGCAGGACAGGAAGGAGACCAGTTAGAGACGTGTTGGTTTACTAGAGGGTCTTCTCAGCCAACAACAGTCCAAGGGTTAAGCCATGCGCCAAAAAGGCACCCGTAAGTTGCACACCAAGTACAAGTACACTCTTACCTGGAGTTCACACACACTTGTTCGTAAGGACTATTCCATCACTCGCGTGCAATGGCGATAACATCTAAAGACCTCATTGCACATTTGAACAACAAATCCGAACACACGCCACTGCCAGAGATGGGAACAAGCACATACTATAGGGATGACGTAGAGCGCAGCGCTATATGGTCCCAACACCTCGGCCTGAGTGGCATAACCTAGATTCACCGGTTGCCGGTCCACCATCCCGCAAGTGTGTACACGCACATCTTCGCGCGTTCTACCGTCCATGGCACATTCCCCTTGACCACACTCACCACTCGTGATGGGGGTGGTGGCATCATGCGGAACTCTGTCCATACTAAACGCTGACTGTGTGCACGGCCCGTTGTGTGTGTTTGGGCCAGTTGCGCTGGGGAATGAACGTGACGTGCGTTTGATGGTGTGTGTGTCAGATGTGTTGGCGCTCGCTAAAGCCGAGTCGGTGTCCAAACAAGCGCATGACATCTGTGGCAATGCTTGCAGTCTCTGCAGCCTCGTCTGGCGGCTGTCGTGGGTTGAGGATTGATGTGTGTATTAATTGAGAAGAGGGTAAGTTGCTGTATGCAATGTGATTTTTTCATACCGAACTCTAAAGAACTGCGGGCACGTATAGCTGTAGATACGTTTAAGAATGAACTCTGAGCATTCCCGTAAAAACGTATCACTTTGGTACATCCACCTAGACACCCTTATGTGTACGTGTATACTTGTGAAGTCTCAAGTATATATATATATACATAGCTTACAATCATTGTAGATACAAGATATCATACACAGCAATGAAACTGTTTATTCGAGAACACAGAAGTATCCAAACCCCTCAGGATACCCACTTACATGGCCTCTGCAGTCAAGCGCCGATTGTATCTGCACAGTATATTGGTTGCATTCTCCCCAGCAGATACACCGCCACTCAGTGCTTGCATAGCACAGCCATCGTCTATGAGGCTACTTGTACCTCTTGCTGTGTCAACATCGTGTGTAGTAGTTGAACGACGAGTGTTGTCCACTGTCGCCATCGTAGGACCGCCTGTTCTTTTGTCCAGACGGGAGGTGCAGCGCGACAACGCGGTCCACGCACTGTGTATGTGATCCTGTGGAAAAGAGTGAGAGAGATGGCTGCTAGAGTACTTTATGTATATACAGTTATGAATCAGCTTGTGGAAGATGTATTTCGCTTTTAGTAGTACAAATGCTGTTTAATAGATAGGGCTGGCAAAGACGATACAGGGTAGTTTACACGCGATTGAGGAGCGCATGCGGCGAAGGAGTGGCAATTGAAAGGATACCCTTGATCCAGCACGGAGGACTATTCCTATTGTGTATAGAGCATTTCTGAGAGTAATTGAGAAGTGCACATGATACTGCACCTTCTCATACTAAAACCAAACTTTCCTATA